TAACCTTTATTGGGCCTTTATTTTTACATGGGCCTGGCCCATTTTAAAAATCTGACCTTTTTTATTTTTCTTTTGTAGGTTTTGTCGTTTATCAGTTACTTCAAAAAAGAAACAAAAGTTAATAAGAGCTTGCAAACAAAAAATCCCCTGTTTTTGAATTCGATTTCTGGGTATTGTTTCTAATCTCATAAAGTGTGAAACTTTTTGCTTTTTTCGATTTCGAGTAACCAAAGTTTCCAACTTTTTCAATCTTTAACCTGTTTTCTTCTTTTGTTTTGACTCTGTTTAATGCATGTCGAAGCAACTTTCTCAGTACTAGACGTCAAAAAAAAAAAAAAAATCTTTCTCAGTACGAACCCTAGATTCAAGCTCTCGATGACTGAGCTTATTAGCTCCCCAAATCTAGACTCCGCCACGGAGAAGCCAAGAATCGTCACCGGAAACTCATCTCTACCTCCGGTGAATGAACACGTCAGCATCGGTGTCACCGCCACCACCACCGCCGGAGATTCTCCCCCGTCTCCGGCGAGACTCGCCAAAAAAATATCGGTTTTGCCACTGGTTTTCCTGATATTCTACGAGGTTTCAGGTGGTCCTTTTGGTATTGAAGACAGTGTTAAAGCAGCAGGACCATTGTTAGCAATTCTCGGATTCATCGTCTTCCCATTCATATGGAGTATCCCTGAAGCACTAATCACCGCAGAGATGGGAACAATGTTCCCTGAGAACGGTGGTTACGTCGTGTGGGTCTCTTCTGCATTAGGACCTTACTGGGGATTTCAACAAGGTTGGGTTAAATGGTTAAGTGGCGTTATAGATAACGCTTTGTATCCGATTCTGTTCCTCGATTATCTCCAATCAGGAATCCCGGTTTTGAGTAATGGAATCCCTCGAATCGCTGCGGTTTTAGGGGTTACTGTAGTGTTGACTTACTTGAACTATAGGGGTTTAAGCATTGTGGGTTTAGCTGCTGTTTTGCTCGGTGTTTTCTCGATTTTACCGTTTGTTGTGATGTCGTTTATGTCGATTCCAAAGCTCGAGCCTTTGAGATGGCTTGTTGTTAGCAAGAAGATGAAAGGTGTTGATTGGAATTTGTATCTCAACACTCTCTTTTGGAATCTAAACTATTGGGATTCGATTAGTACACTTTCGGGTGAAGTTGATAACCCGAGTAAAACGTTACCTAGAGCTTTGTTTTACGCGCTGGTTCTTGTTGTTGTCTCTTACATTTTCCCGATTTTGGCCGGGACAGGAGCTGTACCTCTTGATCAGAAGCTATGGACAGACGGGTATTTCGCTGATATCGGTAAAGTTATTGGTGGAGCTTGGTTAGGATGGTGGATTCAAGCTGCAGCCGCAACATCGAACATGGGAATGTTTTTAGCTGAAATGAGTAGTGACTCTTTTCAGCTACTTGGAATGGCAGAGCGAGGGATGCTTCCCGAGGTCTTTGCCAAGAGATCGCGCTACGGAACTCCATGGGTCGGGATATTGTTTTCGGCCTCTGGTGTGATTCTCTTGTCATGGTTAAGCTTTCAAGAGATTGTGGCTGCAGAGAATTTGTTATACTGTTCTGGAATGGTTATGGAGTTTATAGCGTTTGTGAGATTAAGGATGAAATATCCGGCCGCATCACGGCCTTTCAAGATACCTGTAGGGGTTGTGGGATCGATCCTTATGTGCATTCCTCCAACCGTACTCATCGGTTTCATTGCAGCATTTTCGAACCTGAAAGTTGCAGCGGTGAGCCTTGCAGCTGTAGTGATCGGGCTTGTGATGCAACCGTGTTTAAAGCAAGTGGAGAAAAAGGGATGGCTCAAGTTCTCAGTCAGCTCTCACCTACCAGACCTAATGGCCTAACCAAATTCAGTTTTTGATGATGATGCTTATGGTTTTAACTTTGATCAAACCATAAGCATTATACATAAATTTACATTGCAAACTGGATTTTGAATCAGAGCTTATTAACACTACTGAATAGACTTTTACTTTTCACTAAATGTATAAAATTTTCCTTTTGAAGCAGCTAATGTACATACCCTTTGTTGTTTTAATACCTACATGTGTAAAAGTAAGAAGAAAAAGGCTAGAGCTCACTCTCTATCTATCTCTCTGTGGCTCAATCTATTGAGTTTTTCTGCACAAACTCATATCTCTCTCTCTCTCTCTCTCTATACAAGAAAATATTGGATGATCAATTGACTTCATTTCTGGATTTGCTTTGGGGATCCATGCTTGGCTTATTCTGAAGGGCGGTTTGTCACTTGTTCATATAGAGTTGGCTGAGCATCAATCAGATCGAATAGGCGAGTCCTGCTCAATGAATAAAGCATACAAATATATAAGTTGATAGACGTACACAGCAGCGAAAATGGTAATATGCATGAAATAGCATAAGCAAAGCTACGGGACACACACAGAACACTAACTAGATTCAAGTGAGAAAGTTTCATGAATGCATTCCACTTTCAGCAAAACAATTCCCTAGTGCCATACATAGAAATAAACCTATTTATTTATGAGACAAAGAAGCCTAATTATGAGACAGAGGACACTTATAGTTGCAAAGTAAACACATTTTCTCAATCTTTCAGTCTGTGAATAGTAGTCTTATAGTCTCAAACACAGTAAGATTGTTCTAAAGCAGTGATTGATGTTGTTCCACTTTAACCACATTACAAACTT